GATAGACTTATCCTCTGGCAAGGGCCAGTCCCACTTGCTTCAGAGGAAGGAGCCAAAACCCGGTGTTGGAATATTGTGGACTGACCTGCGCAGAGGGGCAGTTACTGTCCGTTGCAGCGATGGGTTTTGCGATGTGGACACCTGTCGTTTAGGAGCTGGATCCAGACCAGGAGCTCTTTCCGCACATGCCACTGAACAGCTGTCAGAACATTCTGTTCTTTCCTTGTGCTGGATTTCACCTCGTTATAATTTCAGCAGCGCCGCGAATGAAAAGGGGAGGAAGGAAAGATAGGAGCGAGCCAGGAATCAGATGTAATGCAGCGAAATGGTTATAGAAAACAGCTGGGGCAGACCTGCTGGCTGTAGAAGTAGGGGTTGAACTAGAGCAGGGTTTCTCACTCTGTGAAGCGCGACCCAAAATGGGATCGCTAGAATGTATCAAAACTTTGTGGGGCAGGCTGGGCTCAGTTCCCCACTCTGGACATTGTGACCTGGTGCATGGGCAGGGCCGGCTCCAGGCACTAGCCTGGCAAGCAGGTGCTTGGGGCAGCTGCTCCGGAGAGGGGCGGCAGGTCCAGCTATTCGGCGGCAATTCAGCGGATGGTCCCTCACTCCCGCTCGGAGCGAAGGACCTTCCGCCGAATTGCAGCCGCAGATCGCGATCGCGGCTTTTTTTTTTTTTTTTTTTGGCTGCTTGGGCGGCCAAAACCCTGGAGCCGGCCCTGTGCATGGGGTCTCGGTGCCACTCCGGTTTGCCCCAGCCACCTCTCCATCATGACAACATGGGGACAGCTGGGCCAGATTGGAGTGAGTGGTGCTGCAACCCCAAGCACCAGGTCACAACTCCACTTACACAAACGTGGCCTGGCCAGGCCAAACCTGAGCAGGACTGCGACCCCAGAAATCATAACACCCAGAGTGGGGAGCTGAACCCAGCCAGCCCTGGGGACTAAGAGCTGGGAGGGAGCAGCTGGGGTCACATTCTCTAATAAATGCTTGCACTCCAGTGTACCCCCAGCCTGCAGGACCTCCCAATGTACCACTCCCTGTGTTCCGCAGCTCCCATTGCCCGGGAACGGCGAACCGCAGCCACTGGGAGCTGTGGGCGGCCGTGTCGGCGGACGGCCAATGTAAACGAACTGTCTTGCAGCCCACCAGCGGATTACTCTGACGGGCCACAGGTTGCCCACCACTGTCCTAGTGGCAGATGACAATAGAACAGTTGTGTCCAGCCTTCTTGCACGGATAGAGCTACCATTCTTACTTCTCCCTGGTACTCACAGGAACACAATTCCTGGCATTTGCAGGTGTCCCACACCTCGCGTGGTAGCTCAACTCAGTCCATGCCGATGCAGAAAGAACTACAGGCTTTTCTGTCTGTTCCAGGCCCTGAGCTGTGAAAAATTCCTGCAGTTCTCTAGACAAACTCACTCTGCTGTTGTGTGCTTCTCTCTCTCAGTGTCAAAGTCTCTCACTGAGGAACGTCAAGAGCTGGGAAAGCCGCCCACGATGGATCGCCTCCTTCTGGCTCTGCTTTTCCTGTTGCAAGGTAATATTCTCCCTGGTTATTGCCTCGCCTCTACGCTGG